GAATTGAGAAAGCTGTTTGGATGACCAGTGAAACGTCTTCAAGAAAAATACAGCGAGTTTGGTTGTCTTGACTTATTTTTTTTTTTACAGATATACCATGACCTGAAGGAATGAGAACCCTCACAGACCACCATATCAATGATTACATTTGGTGATATATAATTCTAGTTTTCACTCGTTGCTGCTTCTGTAGCTCGATGACCGAACACATCTTCCTCACATTGAACGCATGTCTTTCGCAGGTAGAGTTATGGAATGTATGACACAATTGTATCTTCTTCCAGATCACGGAACAGTCTGATGGTACACTGTACAAAATGCACCAACAGTCTTGCAGAGCAAAGTCGGCCACAACAAACCATTCCCCTCACACTACATAGAGGGGTAAGGACTCTAAAAATGAGATTGTGACGTGTGTGGCGAGCTGAAGTGAGAATCCGATGTGTGTGTTGATCAGCCGGGTGATTGCAATGATCATTCTGCAAACAGGAATTGGCTACCTTGTTGCCTTCTGTAATTTGACCACAAGATGGCGCCAGTGTATTTTTAATCTTTTCTTGTCTGTGCCACTTTCCATAGGAGAATGGTTAAAGGAGAACTATGAGGGGGGTGCTTTTCACTCACCTCATAGTTCTAGCCGACCTGTGACAATGAGACTGTCACAGGTCGGCTCAGTAGATCGGGAGGTGAGCGAACACATGCCGGCGTTCGCTCACTTCTCGATCCTGCCACGGCTCTCTGCCGTGACAGGGGAGGGGCTGGATTCCCCCCTCCGATCCGCCAGCGCTGACTGGCAGAACGGACGGGGGGGGGGGGGGGTGAAGCTGGCCCTGCCTCTAGATAGGCAGAGCCAGCTGTCACTCACGCAGCTGGGTGGATCTCGACATCGATGTCGGGATTCGCTCCGGCTGCGGCGTCTCAGTATACCGCAAGCTGTAGCTCGCGGTATACTGAGCCTAGGGTGACGGGAGGACGCTAGTTTGTGCCCTCCCGTTACCCTAAGGAGAACTATGGGGAAAAACCCTAACCCCATAGTTCTCCTTTAAAGGATAACTCCAGGGGAAAAAAAAAAACTATTAATCTTTGCAGTGGAGCTCATGGCTTTCTCCTGGCTATGAGCTGGGTGTAACCTCTGCACCACTACAGCATTACTGCCTCTAGATGGAACCAAAGGGCACAGGAACTTCCCATGCAGCATCCATAATGCTGAAACCCTTATAGCTAAGTGAATTGGTTTGCCTAAGCCCTCATTCACATCTATATGGAGTGGGAACTAAATCACAGGTGTGCTGTGGTGTCAACATTCCTTAATGGTACCTAGCCATTGCATGTTCATCACATCACAATGCCCACACGTGTGATGTGCAAAAAAAAAAAAATTCAGATGCAGTAGGCAATCCATCCATTTGAATGGCAATGCACCATGTACACGGTCACAGGTATGAATGAGGGCTCATACATGTAATACACTGCAAGTGTTTTGCTCCACCTTGAGGGTTTTATTTTTTTAATGCTTACTGTTTATACATGTTTTTCCTTAAGGGGCCGTTCACATCTCAGCATGCGCGTTAAGGTGTGGGATTTACTCCCCCTCCCCCCCCCCCATTACTTTTTCCCTTTTGCATGGCACCACCACGTTATTGCAGTATCATGCATTTCAGCAAACACACTGAGGAAGTGTTGCGGTGCCAGTCAGAATGAACAGCAATGCATCAGCGCTACTGTCAGTACAGCATGCTAGTGCAGGGTCCCATGCATTTAGTGCAGTGGTGTGAGTTGGCACTGATTAAAAAAAATAAAAATAAAGTCCTCCTTATGTACCTAATCAAGGGTCAAAACATCTACTTTTAACCAATATGATGTTCTAAAACATGCCCTGCAATGGAGGATCCAAGGTGGCTTGAATGAACACTGTCCAATACAGACCTTAACACACACTCATTTTACATAAGGTAGATGCACGGGCACAATAAGAGGTAGATACTGTGTTACAACCAACATCCTCCACAAGTGTCAAGTCAGAGGAAGCAGTGACTGACCTACCGCCGGTGCGACCACACCGGGGCCTCAGCCTGGGGGAGGCCCAGCACAGTCCCTGTACATATATGGTGTGGCTTGCCGGCCGCCGGGTACTATCGGATCGGTATCCAGCAGCCGGCAGGCACCCCGTCTCTGCGCCGGGAGTGTTGGATCATCAGTTTATCCGACACTCCTGGCGCAGAGATGGGTGGCCCACCGGATACTGATCTTAATATCCCACACTCAGCGTGCTGAATTAGTGGAGGGGTGCCCACTGGATACCCAGATTGTATGGGGCCCGCCGGCCGCTGTGGAGGAGAGAGAGCCAAGGAAATGTGAAGACAGCCCTGGAGGCACATGATGGGGCAGCTATGGGGGCCTCGGACAGCTGTGAGGACCCAGCAAGCAGAACAGCCACTGGGTTCCCACTAGGAAACAGAAGAGGTAAGGGTAAATAATTCAATAAATTTGTATCCTGGTGTTGTATAAAGTACTGCTGGTATTTGTAATGCTCTATAGCAGGTGCCATTTTGCAATGCAGAATGGGACCCTCTATAGGAGGACTACAAATCTCAGCAGTACTTTAAAATAACATTTCTGTATAAAGTATTGCTGGTATTTGTAGTGCTCCATAGCCTGTGCCATTCTGCATGGCTGTAATTAGGGATGCACCGATATAGCAGCCAAAAATTGCACTTTTGGCTAAATGCCGAAAGTGCAATTTTTGCGCCGATACAGCGGCACATCCCTGCTTTCTTCCCTCCCCTCTGCTCTGTCCCAGCGGGGATGAGGGAAAGTGTCAGACGGCCGAGCGCTGTGGGAGGAGAACGCTGTGAGCGGCCGGTGTCTCTCCTCCCTGCACCGCTCAGCCTCCTGTCACAGTCTGGTGTTCCATCACAGATTGCGACTGCATTAGAATGTGTGACATCACACATTGTGTTCACACCCATTTTTTCAGCATTGGAATGCGTGACCAGTTACACATGCTAAAAATGCGCGACCAGCAAAAGGTGTGGAATTCAAAGCTTTATCGGCTGTATGTGAAGGAGAACCGATCTGCCCCAGAACAGCTGATCAGTCCTGAAATGTCACTTCTATCCGACTTTGTATTGCACTCAAGTGGGGGTGGGGGCAGGGCCGGTGCTAGGGTTTGTGCCTACAAAGGCAAGGTGCATTTTTGCGCCCCCCTCCCCGACCCCCTGTAAAAACAGGGCATTTTGACAAGTACTTGCACTTGTCAAAATGCCCCGATGTTTGCGCTATGTTTTTTCCACTTTCGGTGCCGGAGAGCAGCGGTGAGTCAGCGCTGGTCCGGTGGGAGGAGCTCCAGGTGGGGTCCTAATTTAGCTGACCGGCGACTGCCTGAGGTG